AGGTGTTATTTTGAGAAAAGGGGCTAAACAAGAATGTTTAGCTATAAGTTCAGATTTTATGGAGTAACAAATTCAAGCAAAACAGCTATCTTGGACTAACTGCTCATATTGTTGATGATCAGCATATTTTACATTCTATTGATCTTTGTTGTGAACCATATAATGAAATAGATAAAACAGCAGGGGACGTATTAAAGTTTTGAAGTAATATTGAAACTAATGTTATGCTTCTATTTTTTTTTCTTTTATTTTTGTTGATCTCATTTAATAGTCAATTATGGCTGCTCTTTCTCGTTTTGGACTTGATCAGTTAATGGATAAAATAACTTTGGTTTGTGATCGTGGCAGTAATCTGATAAAAGCATTAGATGATTATCAGGTGGTTCATTGTTTTCCTCATAGATTGAATAATGTCTTAAAACGAACATTTTGCAGTGCAGGTAATAAAGAAAGAAAACAAAGAAAAGAATCATTGAAAAAGAATCAAAATGATGATCAATTCAATTGGAATAATTCAAATGATGATGATAATGACTGTCTTATGTATTATGATGATAGGAATTCAAATGAAAGTGAATCTGATGATGATATTATTCTTGATGAAAAATCTGTTGAATTAGCTTTGAGAAGTTTACCATCATCACCTGAACGTGATCATGTTAATGTATTAGAAAAAAATCTACCACCTTATGCTGCTCAAGTGCTAGCAACAATAGTTTGTTGTAAACAATTATGTTGCCATGTAAAAAGGGTATTTTCAATTTTATCTAATGACAAATATATTTTTCTTAACAGCTTTCATCCGTATTTCATTTAGGTTAATTGGCATCCTAAGCTGGAAGCATTAAGAAAGTCAACGATCAAACAAGCCATAATTGTTCAATGGCTCACAATGTCACAATTGCTCGAAAGTATTCTGTCTTCATATTCAGCTTTAACAAGTATTGCAAGTGAGAAGGGTGCCCTTCACACTCTTCCTACAATTGATGTGTCAACTGTAGCTACTATTAATGGTCTATTCTTACCATGGAAAGGGGTGATCGAACGTTTACAAGCGACTAATACATCATCTCTCCATCTAGTAGTTACATCTTACTGATATCTTCTTGAAAGTCTGGTAGTGACGAAGGATGAAGTAGCTGATAAAGCAGCCAAATGTAAATCATTCTTAAAAAAACAAGTCAGTAAAAATCTATCTTTTTTACAGGTGTTGCCTTTTTTAAAAGACGTGCACAACAATTATTAAAAGCAATGTTCTCTTTGCACGATCTACATTGGATCGCTGCAATACTCAATCCACATACAAGAATGCTCAAACATGCTACTGATGTTGAACGTGCACATGCATATTGTCTAGTGCGAGCTAGATTAGCTAAACTTATGAAAATGGCACAGATTGATAATAATGAAGAAGTATTATCTCCAGCAACTATTAGTCTAACACCACCACCTCACAAAAAGTTGAAGTCCTACACAACACAATTTCATGATGACACAGATTTAGGTGAAACAAGTAATAATATGATAATTGAAAAACGTGCTCATCGTGAATTAGAAATCTATTTACAACTGAATTTAACTAATTGTAAATGTTTAAATGATGATATTAATAATCCATTGTTGTTCTGGAAAGAACAAGAACATGTACTACCCAATATGTGACGATTAGCAAAACAAATGTTTTCTATTTCTGCCTTTTCAGCTGCAGTAGAACGTGCATTCAGTTCAGCTGGTATTGTTGTATCACAGAGAAGAACCAATATTAATCCATCTACAGTTAATGATATTATACTTATTCGATCGACTGCAGCTTATTTGAAGATCCACACATAGACTCTACTTAAGTTTCTTTTTTGTAAAAATTGATTATTTATAAAAGGAATATACTATTAAAAATAAAGTATTTGGTAAATCAAAAATTTCTTCGGGTTACACGGGAGCGGGGCGTGGCCAGTCGCAAAAATGGCGAGTCGGGCGGGTCGGTCCAAGAAGCTGACTGTGAGGAGTACGGGCGGAGTGGGCATAGATTTTTCGGGGTACAGGCGAGGCGAGGACTCTCATAAAGAATATCCACGAGGTTCGGGCGTGACGGGTTTATGCATTTTATGGAGCGGGTCCCGTGGGGCATGAAAAATCAATGCTCCGCACATCTCTGGTCTAAACTAAAAAGATTATATTAAGATAACTGGATAGTAAAGTTGGAAGTACCTACCTCTCAGTTCGCAAGATGTTAAAACTGCATCCTCAGTGAAACATGTGATAGAGTTATAGAGACAATTGCCATTTGCAATGACGTCAATCGGAATCATATTTTGAACATCTAAAGATGTGTGCTGAAGATATAATTTGGCTTCTTGGTATAGCTTATGAATAACTGGGTTGAAATAAGTAATGGGTGCAAGTCTTATCAGTGTTAAAAGCCAGTCCATATAAATTGTCGAAAGAGACCATATGACTATTAACCTTTTTTTTTGGGAAAACTTACAGCTCCGATTTATCTACAAATAGTCTTGGTTCGATCATAATAGCCGTCGGCAGTGGATGCCTTCTCAAATTCCATTAAAAGTGTCTTAAATATTTAAAACGATTTGTTTTGCAACAATTTAAACAGCAAGAAGGTGTTGTCAATTTAGAACAAAACAGACATCGATAGGTGTGAGGTTTAGATGTGGGTGTGAGTGTGAGGTGTGAGTGTGAGATGCCCTCATCACGCAAAGACACCCACACCTGAAACGAATTCTCTATCTCAAGGTTGGGCTTTGCCCATATGTAAACCGAACACACATTTTTCAGATAAACAGCGTGGGTACCTCGAAAAAAAATTTTGATGAAGGTGTTCCCAGTTTGAAACAAAGGAAACCCAAACAGATTGTGTTAAATACGGAGACCTTGAAAGAAAACGCCAAGTTATACTTTTCGATTATCGAAGTTTAAAATGAAAATCAAGTTTGCTCATTTTTCTGTCAACTAAAACGCTAATAACAGGAGATTGCCACTCAAAATTTGTCAAGTAGTAAAATCGTCATCGAAGAGAAACTCATCAAAAATACTATTTAGTAATGATACTGAGAACAAGGAAATTGACTCGGAATTTGAAACATTAGACCAAGATTCTCAAGATATTGAAATTGCTCCACAAGAGATCGGAGTGCTAGAAAGCTCTAGTATGAATGCTAAAGTGGCACTTGCATCATATCTTTTGATGAATTCCCCAGCTACAGCCGCCTCTCTAACATTAAGGCGAAGCAAATAAAATATAAAACAGAATCATGCCTACTGGATTAGGTCTAAGTCAGTCTAAATAAATGGGTATGTGTTTACCAAATTATCCTTGTATGAACATACCAATGGACACGGATTTTCCGAATAATGTCCCTCCTCTTCAAGCAGAATGGGCTCAACGTGCCGAAGAGGAGAAACACGGATAAGGTTTTCCTTAAACGTGGCCAACAATTCTGTGTCTTGTATGAAGTAAGTGTACAACTATTTGAATAACACTTAAACTTCCAGGAAAGTATAAATGAACGTTAATCGGCTTGTAAAGTGTTTTCAGCTATTTTGCATAACATGATGCTTATATAAGATTAGCTAACGCTAACCCATTTTACCTTCATAAATTAAAATAAATGACAATTCAACAGTTTATAGAGACTATATGTTCATTGAAATATATTGTACTTGTGTAAAAAATACTTTAGATACGTTATAGTCTTCTTAAACTTTTGTTTTTTTTCCAGAAAAATATTCATAATAATTTTTCCTCATAGACACTGTCTTGTTGATCAGCCTTGTAATCCATTTTTGGACATCGTTCGAAATTTCTTTTAATTGTTTTGTAACCTTTTTGTAGAGGAAAAAAGTTGTACAACATGTAAAAGATTCAGCATGAGATCTCTTAAAATGACTAAATGAAAGCTGATACAGTGTAATATATTGCATAAAAACCGACTCATTTTTCCACCCGAAAATAGTGAGTCAGATAGTATTTCATAGATAACTCTCGATTAGTCCATGGAAACCTAGCAAATTAAAAGATAATTTTGTTCAGCGTTCGAAGCTGTATCTTTTGGTATATTACACGAAAAATTTCATTAAATTATTGTCATTTAAAAGAATCTTAACTTTCAATGCAGGATTTTTTATGGTTTTCCTCAACCAAGACTCTTGCCCCTCCCCCCTTGACAGGTGCAATCGAGCTAACTTTTCAATAGCTCAACCAAATGCTCTAAAATTTTGGATTTATAGGTTTTAGATGATGCTGAACAAATGAGAACATAAAAACAAAAATCAAGATTTTATCCAGTATTTCGATATCTGCCACGGTACTCGATCGTCTCACGGACTTTCTTAAAAGCTTGAAGCTTCCTCATGGGAGAATCAATTTTGTCAAGTAAGATCTGAAACGAATGTTGAACTCTTTAGTGGTAGAAAATTAGATCTACCTCCCTTTCCTCCCCATGGATCGTGACAGACAAGGTCTGGAGTTTGTTTATCGTCTCTCGTTTAAGTTAGCAAATATTTCTTTTGCCTTTTAAAACTTAATTACTAAATTATCTTGTATATGACTATTGATTCATGGATTCCAAGTTGAACTTGACTTTGCTTGTAAACGAGACAAAACTGAAGTTTTGTTACTTATTCTTTTATCACAAACAAACAAAACATTGTGCATTGTCGTCAAAAATAGTATCATTCATTATACTGCAGGAAACAGAACACTCTTGTTGTATCTTACTCCGTTTTAAAAGTTTTTATTTTTGATGTTGAAGTTTTTTTTCATACACCTATTTTCAAAAATATCATTCATATAACACATTAATCGATACCTTCCATGGAACGTTTATTTTATTGTGGAACTCACGTATCTTTTCGAAAAAAAACAGTCAGTGTAAGTTTTAAGCCCAAGGTTTTCTGGCTCTCCTCCTCCCACCCCATTACAGACAGGCCACGATTCCAGACCTCAGCAACCGCGCACAATTCAGCTCCTATACAATTTTCTAATGCATTCATAATTATTCAAAAACAAAACTATTTTTCAGTTTAGAAATAATGCATTAGGATAACAACCCGAAATCACATACGCGAGTTCCATATTTCAGCTCGAAAGGAGCTGCGCTGATAAGCTTTAGCACTTGTTTTCTTTATATACTTTTCCAGTTATTTGTGAAAAGAAAAATTCTACAACTGTTTTTTCCATTTTAATTTTCGTTTCCTCTTCATGAAATCAAAGAAGACCATGACAATCTTCATTAGGCTTGACCTTGGAAATAATAAAAATGTCTATAAAAAAATTGGAAATAAAATATTGTCTCTTTATTGGGCACAAAACTAGATTTAACTAAAAAATTTAAGAGTAAATAATGTAAAAAAGATAAGTTAGTGATCAAATTTTCGGTATAAAAATGCATGTCTTATTTAACTTATGACAAAAAATATAAGTGAAACAGGAAAGTGGCACTATTTATCATGATACTTTTTCCTTTTCTTCGCTTTGAAACTAGTAGTAATGGCACGGATCCTTTTTGATAATTTGCATATATGATGATCTTCAGCCGCCAGCAAAGCACGGTCTTGAGTGGTGTTTATCAGTTATGAATGTTCACTTGTAAGATAGAATTCGTGCCAAAAAAAGAATCTTAATCGTCTGAAACGATTTTTACAGAAATTCGATGAACCATCGGATGCAATTACCAAAGCTTACCGAAAGCAATGGTCTCAAAGTACGTCTGCAATGAGTATTGTAGTTTAGTTCGAAGCTGCCACCCTAATTAAGAATATGATCGAACTGGTTATACACTCTAAAGCTTAGATGCCAACTGAGGACAAATGCCGAACGCAAGTGTTATAAAGATGAGTACTGCTACATGAAAAGCTTTGGAATGGTACAGAACAATGAGTAATAATTGAACGACAATTTTGGCTTGCCAGAGCTATTATTAAATAGAACCGATCTGACAGATCTTGATATTAAGCTCGAAGTAGATAATGTAACTTATTCTGTCGTTTGAGAATGTAAGTTGTGTCGAAAGCTGTCTTCCCACCAAGACAAATAACAGAATGATGATTTGAACTGCAACTTAAAGGAAAATAACGACCGGAAAAGAAATCTGAATCAAAGTAAGGATACACACGACGATGGTATCCAAGGCAACTGTCAAAAGTGACTTCCCAGTTACTGTGAGAATCACAAACGATCCCAATGATGAGACTTCATCCAAATGTCGATTTTTGAGGAGGAATATGTGTATGGACCAGAAATGCTTCCAAAAATGGCAGTAGAAACCAATATCTTCTGTTATAGGTAGAAGGGACCGTTAATCTCGGTTTTAACAGGATCGATGATATAAATCAGTGTAATATTGCTTGTAAAGCCTGTATATTTTACCTATCCTGTGCAACGATAGGAAGAAAAATAAAAATAAAACCATGATAGTATGCATATTTTTCCAACCATAGATTAACTTTATCTCTCTTTATTATTCAAGCTGCCCAATCGATAAGTGAAAGAACAAGCAAAAGAATAACGACATTTTTGCGCAAAAAAAATCCAGTATGTCTCAATAATATATGATCATGCTTTATCCCACGTCTACGGTTGATTGCACGCAAGCCAAATCTTTTTTTCGATATGGATAGAAGTAATATAATGCTTTCATTTTCTT